CCACAGTGCCCAGAGGTGGAGATCAGAACCAGCTCCAGCTGCAGTGAGCAGAGTGTGCTGTGGGCAAACCTAGAGTAGCCCAGGTCACAGTCAGTTTAACTGTGGCCCTGCAGCCCTGGGCAGAAACCCTTGAGGTTTCTCACAGCCATTTCTCCTCATGTCTCGGGGCTCACCAAAGCCTGGGGACAGGTCTTCTTGCTGTGTCAGAGCTGGGCTGAAGCAGGTCAGAGCCCTGGGGTGGGGGAAGGAGGAGTACATCACCCTGGCACTGAGTCAGAAGTGAATGTGATTTTTTTACCCATATTTCATTTAATCAGTGGGGTGCTGCCATAGGCTGGGTAATAATAGCATGCTGGAACATTGTGGCTGGAAATGCAGTATACACTGTCACCCATGGTGAGGATGAAATGTGTGCATACCCTTCACATGCAGGCAGAAATACTAGTCTGGATTTCAATAAAATTGAGATACTGTTCATTCCACGGTAAATGTTTGTTTTGGGAATTTCTTCTCATGACAGCTTTTGCAAGTTACACTTTGGCAAGCTATGAAATTTGTAGGTTTATTTTCAATTGCATTAATAATTTATAAGAGAGTTGCAAACTATGCTACTCTCTCACATAGGTCACAATTAATCAACTATTCCTTTATTTTTTCTAGGAAAAAGTTGTTACCTACTTTTAATCCAGATGTCTAGGCAAAATTTTCTAAAATACATCATTACATCTCTGTTCTGATGGAGGAAAATGTTTTAGGAAAAAAAATTGGAATTTTGAAGATCAGATTCATATGCATAATAAATAATCTTATTTAGTGTAGAAGAAGAATGTATGTCAATAATTCCATAAATGAAATGAGATGTTTCTATTTACACTATTGATGCATAGCATCCATTAGAATCCAATGGATTTTCTGTATAATTAATTGGAAATGTTTATTAAGTTTATTGCTCTCTCATGCTTCATAAAAATTAATTTGTATTCCTAAAACCCAACAATGACTGACATAATCTTGCTTTTTCATAGCCATTTTAAGTGGCATTGTCATTGACATACATATTGACACTGAATGCTGTGATATCAGTAACTAGGGCAAGAACAATAATACAGTCAATACAATTCAAGATATAAAAGTATTTGTAATTACAATGTAGAATGTTTTTCATGCATCTAATGCTGCAGAACCTACTTTCTGGAAAGAGGAGAGAAATTACATTTTGTAATGATGGATGACATTGCTATGGTTGTTTTGGTTGTAGTTTATTTTTTATTTCTGGTCATTTGCTATTTTGTGGGTGAAAGGCAGAGTGCTGGGGTGTGAATAGGATGTTTACAGCCACGTGTTGTCCCAGAGTGGACCCACAGCAACACCTGGGATCAAGATCTGTATGTAGCAATGCCTAAAATGAGGTCATAATTTTTAGTCCAAATTCAGAGAGGGTATGTAAATGAAATATAAATTAAGCACTCAAAAGACATGAATTCTGTGAAATAAAATGAAAACATCAAAACCTGCAAAAATGGGTTAGCTGTTTCTTTAAGCAATTTAATTATAGAAGTTGCTTGACAAAAACAAGTTTTCTTGTTTTGTTATCTATAAGAATGGCCTTAAGTATTAAAGTTAATGCTCTCACATTCTAATACATAATTATTTATACTACTTTGATGTTTTGTGTATTTTTACAAGGTGCTAATTGTGCTGAATCAAGTTGACAAAACTGCATAATTTGTAGGTTAATATTAGCATAATCCTACAGCACATTGTTTAGCAACAGTATAGAAGCGAAGTTTACCAGAAGTTTTTCCAGTATGGTGAATAAAGTGCATGTCTCTAACAATAATAATTTCCATGACAGAAATAATGGCTTAGGAAAGTGTGTAAATTATAGCACTTCTTTTTCATGAGGCTCAATGGATTGTGAAATTTTGCAAAGTGGAATGCATCGTAAAAGTGGGTTTCAAAGTTTGTCAAGGAATGTTATCAAAACATTAAGGAATTTATTGAAACACAGATGCAAAATTCAGATTTGGTTTACAACAACAAACCAACAGCCTTTTGTACCCCATCTCATGACTTTCCTGTTTTCAAAGATCCTTCCTTCCACCTTTGCATGGCTTCTTAAGAACACCAGTCTTGGGCCATGGAACATCGAGTTCAATCGCATTATATAGAGTGTAGTGAGTTCCACTGATAGTATATTCCAATTGGCATCTGTAGATCTCTGTGCAATGTCATGTACAATGCTACTGAAGGATATGGTCAAAAGGTTTAGAAGAGTGACAATTTTTGAAGGGAGGAAAGCACCAATATTTTAATGGCTTAATGTAAATTGTGTTGCCTCAACAGCTGTCTTTGCTTGCTTTTTTTTCTTCTTGGTCTCCAGAGGAAAAATAAATCCATTATGTGCTAGAATTGCTCGCACAAGCCATTGCTTAACATGTTCCCTGCTGCTGTGTCAGTACATATAGGGAAAATTAGGCCAGTGAACCAGTTGGTTTTCACTTGTCGGTTCTAACTTGGTCAAGTAAGAGGAATAAGGCTGTCCTTTCTAAGTGTCAGAGCTCATGTTCCATTCTTAGGTTCTTTGCAACATATACATCATACATTCTTGTCCAGAACCTTCCTCTTGGCTTCAGGGTACCTGTTTGCATCTTGGGACTGAGTGTGTGCTGAGCCAAACAGAGAGGACATACCAAAAAGGAAATACTGCCCAAATATCAGTCACCTACTATCCACACCATTTTGGCTTATGCCTCTCAAAGGGAAAGGGTTTGTGTGAGTGAGGATACAGATGAATGGATACACAGGACTGTTCTAGCTCTTTGACTTGTCTCTGACAGCAAACAAGGTGGATCCCTAGGTAGGAGTGTACAAGGCCATGAATCCACCTTCCTGTCCTCCCAGTTGTGTGCTTGGGCATTTCTGAGGCAGACATACTCTTTCTGAGTGTTCACAGTCCTCGGAGGATTGCTCTTTTATGATTTTTTTCTACATTCTGCTGTGCCAAGTCCTCAGCGGTTTTGCTGCTCAGCGTTGGTAGTTAATTAGCCTTCTCCTTTTGTAGGTTTTGAACTCACCACCTGGCAACAGGATTTCAAATAGTAAAACAAGCAAACAAACAAATGAAAGCCTCTTTGTTTTGAGAGTGTAAACGCTGTTTGAAGCAGCACTGTGTGTAAGCAGATGTAATACAGAGATTGAGCAGGGGAAGCTCTCACTCAGGTGTTGAAGGTGTCCCACAATGTGAGCAGGAAGCTGCGAGGTGATGTCCCTTCACACCCCATTTCAAATGCACCTGCCCCTGCAGCTACTGCCTCTGTTCTTGTCACTGGAACAGTATGTAAACACTTAAGCACTGAAAGACTCTTGAATTTTAGTGGCTTTGCTTGTCCATAAATGCCCTGAATTTTTAAACTGATGTGTAATATTGGTTTATGCTTATTTTACTGAGAGTTGCAGTCTTTTTAAGACGTGAGCAATAAGGACTAGTATTTAAACTCTTAAGCTTTAAGTATTCATTTTCCCTTGTTGCAACTTTTCTTCTCCTTGCGACTTTTATTACTCAAAGCAAGAGAAGAAAGAATGGAGAGTGACAGGAGATTCAATTTGCAAGTGCTGGAATGCAAATTCAGTGGTGTTAGTATCAACCCCTACTGAATTTTTGCATTTAAGCTGCTGATAAACTTCTTCATGCTGAGAAGAGTAATTTCATTTTGTGAGGAGCTGGAGGAAAGCTGTTCCAGTGTCCAAAATGAGAGACCATACTGGACCAAAAGAAATAGAATTTAAATTTTATTTTCTAGGTGATTTTTTAAAATGTAAAGTAACTTTTTTCCTTGTAATTCAGAAGAAGATAGTTGAAAAAACTGTTACAATATGCCTTTCTATTATGGTTTGACTCTTCTTGGACAGTAAAGCATGTTAAACATGATAAATGATCACAGTCATTTTAATAAATAAGTTAGATGAGTGACTACAACTTTTAACCAGGTCAATAGTCTGTTTGCTTCTATTTTCTTCTAAAAAAATGAAAAATCATCAGAACAATGGAAAAGATGATCTGCATTCCCTGATAGTAATGTGATTTTATTTGGTGAATTAAACTCCTTAACATTCAATCACAAAGTTTGTCCATACAGAACCAGATTACCTTCTAGAAAAATAATTGAGCATCTTTGTCTTTATCCTCTAAGTACCCCCTAAAACCTATTATAATCCTGTAAAGGAGGATTATAAACTTAAACAACAGTAGCACGTTTAATGATGATCTGCTAACAAAACATTCTGGCTAATCTCTGATCAGTGATTACATTTCAACACCAATCCAACACATAGGATAACTGAATTTCTTAAGACATAGGCCAACTTCAAAAAATTCCTTGTAATTCTGTCTTCATTTCATTTCTTTAGTACTTGACAGTGGCCAAGGCAAACAGATCTTGGAGCAGAAGATCAGTCACTCTAGACAAAAACAGGTCAGATCTTCCCAAAATGCTGGAAGTACTTACCTGGTCTTTTATGTAGTGGGCTGTAGACTGGCAGACATGGTAGTAATATTTTTCATCCTTGTTTATTGTACAAACCTCTATTTTTCTAATATTATAGTGTTGTTTCAATCATTCTTGTATTTCATGATTTAATTTTTTTTTGCATAACAATCAAATACCTGAAGTGAAACATATATATAAATATATGTTTAATAAAGGGTCCCTTTTCACAATATAAGTAGAAATGCATTTGAAGAGAGCTGCATTTTCTGGAAAAAGATTTAAAAATTGGTAAAACACTGATTTGTGATGCATTTTTAATTAATAATTTCACTGTTCAGAAGTAGTACCGTGTTTCCATTTGATATAAATGTTGTAAATGTTAATACATGATGCCATCAATATCACACCAATTTTAACCTGAGACATCCAACACTGTTCTCTTTTTTTTTTCCTGTAGTCAATAAATAAAGTATCAATGGATTCTTATTTCATCTCCTTTTATACTTGCAGGCGGTTTGACAAATCCTTGGAAAAGTGGCGACTTTTTCATTCTGACATGAAGAGCTTTAATCATTGGCTAACTGAAACTGAGGAGAAGCTGTCAAGAGCACAGATAGAGGCTGGAGACGTGGGGCATGTGAAAACCAGGCAATTTATCCAGGTATGACGTGATTAGCCAATTTCCTGTTTTTCTGGAGTAGTTAAGAAGTTTGTCTCTGTGGGTAACCTGTTTAGTTTTGCACTTAATTTAAGGACCATTTCTAATGTTGAGTGGCCACTGACAATTTATGTCAGATATTTCTGTTGTTCTGGTTCACTAAGAATTTTCATTAGTTTGTCGTAAGATACTTTTTTACAGGAAATAAGATACAGGATGACATGGTATATTGTGGTACTTCCACAGTTACATATTTGTTTGGTCTTTATTTAATGTGCTCATTAGTTTCCATGACCAGCAGAAGTACCAGACTTAATTTTAAAATCTTGTGGAAGAAATGTGATTAACCATTGAAGTGTACAAGAGATATTCCATGAACTATGTCTTGCGAGTATTTCTTATTTTTCCTGTTTCATGTTTTAATCAAAGAACCTTGAGGATGCTTTTTTTTCCCCCTGAAATGCAGTGTGACAGAATAGCCACTTAGTTCCTATGTGTCCAGTTCCAATTTGTATGCTTTTCATCTAGCAAAAAAATAACTCTAGTTTCTTGGTAGTTTATTTCATTTCCCTCCTATGTGATTGAAAAGGAAATGGGTATGAAGAATTAATTCTAAACTGATATTTTGCAAGTAGATATGTTCAGCTGAAAAACATGACCTGACTAACCTCTGGATTCATGTTATAAATTGCTGCTTATGCATAAGAAAAAAACTCAGTTAAACTAATTGGAATTTGTACATTTGAATTGCTGGATCAAATTACTGGATTTCAGGTTGAAAACAGGTAGATCTGTCTCATATTAAAGGTTGAGTTTTGTTTTGAATGCAATTTTTGGCCTACAGTTAAAAATAGAAATCATGTCTTTTGAATTTTATTATTTGAAGTCAACCTTTTTAAGATTTGGGCTGCTATTTCTTGACTGCAAAACTGCTGAACTGCAAAAGAAACAAAGTCATGCAATGCAAGTATAAAAAATAGATGCAACTGTTAAGCAACACTAAGCTGAAGGAGTTAAAATAGTGGGTAAATACTTTCTGCAAATTGTTGTCAATGCTTTGAACACTGGAGAAAGGTGTCATAGATCTCACTGACGAAACAGAATGTCATCAAGGAATTGAAGATGCTCTTTATTGTGTATGTAACAGGTAGCAGAACTCATCATCTGCCCACTGAAATTTCAGTTCCCTTTCTCTGATCCACAGTTTTAAGCATTCCTTTGAAAAACATACATATTGCTAGAGTAAGACATGTCTACCTATGTGACATGCTGTGTCACAAAGCCTTACCCTTCTCTGCTTCTGCTCCACCACACTTCTAGCACTGTGCTTGGATCCTTCAGCAGCTTCAACTGAGCAGTTAGGGGAAAAAATGGATCCATGAAAAAGGTGTTTGCCTAAGTGTTTTCTAACCCCTTGGTAAATCAATATTTTCTTTCTGAAGAGAGGTTGGTTTTTGAGAGTGACCAAGACCAGATAAGATGTATCATAGATGTGTAGCACATTTCAGTGTCTCAGCAGGTTAGAATCATTCTTTACTCGTCATCATTTAGAAGTTAATACAGAACTGAAGATCACACTGAAAAATCTTGAGATAATACCTTGCTGTGCAGAAGCTCAGATTTCAGTGTAGAACAAGACTCCTGGTTTATATTTCCTTTTGACCTAGTCTGCTTCTCATCTGTTAGCAATTTGTTATTTTCTTATGCAATATATGAGAACATTTTGGATATATGTTTGCAGAATGGATTTATCTTTTTGCAGTTCATCAAGCTTTTTCTTTCTTCCTTTTCCCCTTGTGTTAAAAATCCCAGGAACTCACAAATTTGTCTCTCAAACATTGTTTTCAGTTCAGTACAACAGAAAAAAGTACCTTTCTAATGAAGACTCACGTATTATGAAAATACTCCAAATAACCTCAAGAGTGTAGACCTGATGTTAGTTAACATGGATTTGTGACAGAAGGTTTAGTCTGAAGTTGCCCTGTTCCCATCCTTTTCATTGGTTCTCCCTTTACTTTGCTGGGTTTGTTGCAGAAGTCATAGGCTTCTGGGAGTCTGACTGAAGAGATGGTTAGAATTTCCACGAGGTAAACAGTTAAAACAACTGAGCGTTTTGATTTACAGATTAGCAACTGGTTTTATTAATGAGATCATGCTGCTTAGTGAACCATATTCAGAATTAACAGGATTTGTTTGAAAAGGCTTTTACAAGCAAGTGAGTAGTCTGGTATTCAACAAGTAATTGTTTTAGAAAAAAAATATGTGAAACATTCAGATGGGTAATGCTATTTCTAAGTAGGACTACTTTGGAAAAGTAAAGATGAATGTGTTCATATATATCAAGGATATTATGTTTATTCTTTTAAGGTCTCAGAGGGCCTTAAATATTGGGTGGTGGCTTTATTAATTATACTCAGCCTTCTGAGGGTACTGTAGATATAGAAATTGCTTGTAAATTACAGATCTTTCTTAAATTGTTTGTAAATTGACTTGTCCAGCATTGACATTTTACACTACTTATCCAAGCTGCAAAAGACTTGTGAATGACTCATATCTTCTCTAGACCTTCTTTCTGCTGCACCAGAATGTCAGGAACATCATCATTTGGTCTAGTAGATGTTTAAAGTGAAAAGATATCAAGAATCCAGGCGTCAGTGCTGAAAGTCATGGTCATGCTAATAATTTCTCTCTTTTATATCTAAATTGGATTATATGGATATTGATGATTTAATAACCACTGAATTTAAACAGATTTTTCTGGCACAAATGCAATCAGAGTACAGGGGAGAAAAAATGTGTTTCAGTGCTCAAGGCCACATATTCTCATACCATGAAAGCACAGTGATAAGAGGGTGGATAGTTTTCTGTGTTTTCTTCAAAGTATAAAACTTGTAAGAATACTTTTTTTTAGACATAATAATTGTGAGTTTCATATTTTAAATCTCATATTTTTACATTTATGTCCTGTTTTACTGAGTGATAAAGGTTATTCCAATAATTTCTGATTCTTCTTGTTCCAGTTTGGATTCAAACAGTTCAGTATTTTTCCATTTGGATCAATTTTGTTCCACCCCTTTGACTAGTGTTTTTTGGTGATGTTTTCAGATAAATTGTAGAAATGTGGCAAATACTCTATCTTAACAAAGAGATTTCTATGACTGCTTAGTGATTCCACAAGAGAGAGAAAATACAGCATGTGAAATAGATGAGAAACTAATCTGGCATTGTTTTAAAAGAAACTTTAATTAGAACAATCAGGTACATGCTTGCCTTAATCAGGCATTGGGATGTGCTGCCCAGGGAGGTGGTGGATTCACCACTCCTGGAGGTTTTCAGGCTCAGACTGGATGTGGCACTTAGTGCCATGGGCTGGTGACCACGGGAGGGTTGGACTTGATGATCTTTGAGGTCTTTTCCAACCTGGTTCATTCTATGATTCTACTATGTCCTTCATATTGCAAACCCATGTCTGGCAGGATATATATCTGGCAGGAATGTATCATTGACTAATATTTTATTAATAACTAAAGCACACTATCCCTTACTATTATGTTGAAAGTGGGATTTAATTTTTTCTTTCTGGGCAGTAATGTGTTCTGAACGTGATATCATACATGAATGTCATCTGTTCTTACTTACATATTGACTGGATCATTTATTCAGACAAGCTTATTGGTTTTCTCTTTACTGAGCATCACCTTCTTATCCAGGACCTCTGGGTGCAGCATGCCACTGCCCCTTAGAAAGAAAACGAAGAGATATCCCATGGATTTCTGTCTTTTGTTCAGTTTCTAAGGTCCCAGGAGAAATGGTTCAAATCATATACATGGGCTCTGCATCAGACACCTGGGCCCTAACTGAGCAAAACACATTTTTTTCTGGTTTAAGCTCATCTTAAGAACAAATTCGTGAGCCCTTCTTGACTGGAGTGCTATCAGCAGTGGAAAGACTTTATTTTCAGTTAATAAGGGGAGGACATCACAATTCCTACTAAAATAGTTTCTGCTTCTTTCTTATGCCAAGCAAAATATTAAATAATACTGTAATCTTTATCCTTAGTTAATTTCTGTATATATAACCTTTCTTTTACTGTTGAAAGGCTCCTCATCTTTGTTTCTTCTACTAATGGAAGTGATTAAATACCAAAATAGTTTATCCCAAATTTATCATAAAAATATTTTCTTGTTGTTTCAAGCTATAAGGAGTATTACTTCACAAATATATCAGTTATTTAATTCTTCTTTACTGCACACAATTAATTCCTAATTTACTGTATCCTATTAAAAGTTTTTAATTTAATTATTGCTACTGGTAGTGGGACATTAAAATGTCTGAAGGCTATGGGAAATAATAAATTTAAAGTTGCTTATGTGGTTCTGCCTACTTCTGCACCATTAGCTGACAATTCATAGCTTCTATTTAGGTTTTATTGTAAGTCATGGCATTGTTTATTCTGAAAATTAAATTAAATCTTGTAAGTAATTAATTAGGATGCATTTTTCAAACATTTCATTATGAAACTTTCTGAAATAGCTATTAGCACACATGGATGCACACTGACATAATTTTTATACATGAGGAGAATTAATAAATGTGGGTTTTTTCTGTGTCTTAGAGAAGAGAATGTTCTTGGACTGGATCAGTCAAACTTTCTGGTACCTGACTGTAACTGTCTCACTGTTTGGGGGAATTTATCCTCACCAGTTCTAGTGGTTGTAGAGTACTAGCACAGGGGCATCTGGGAAAGATATTGACCTTTATACCAATTGCAGAAGCATTTTTTGTCTGTGTATTAAAAAATATAGGAAATTTTAATACTGATGAATTTATCTTAGTGTCAGGGCTAAACTGGACATTTATAATCAGTGATGTGTACAGATAATACACTTCAGATTCAGCAAATCTATTAATGCTTTGTCATTAATGTTAATTTGTCATTTTAGCGGAAATGTAGTTTAAGAGAACATTTATAAAGGAGATGTACTGAAACGGGGCAAGGTTCT